ATCTAGGCTCCATGCCCAATGTGGGGCTTGAACTCAGGATTCTGAGATTAATAGTTGCATCCTCTACCAAGTGAGCCAGCCATGTGCCCTGCAAAGCACCATTTTAAACGTCTAAACCAGAAGCTCTGGGTTCTCAATCTGGGCTGTGTATCAGAATCGCCGGGGAGATTTTACCAATACAAGTGACAGGCGGCATTTCAGAGCCTGATTTAAGTGATTAGGAGAGGCTTAGACATCAGTGTTTTTATTTGCTTGTTTGAGTCTTTCTAGTGATTTATTTAAACGTACAAGCAGAGCTGAAACCCATGAGCTGGACTTTGTCTTCTAATTGTTCATAATGTGATACACATAAGCACCGTTTAGAAAACATTTTATACCTGTATTAACAAGGCAAAATATTTTAAAAAACACAAATTATTTATACTCTGAGCGGTCAGGTACTCAGAGTATTTCTTGAGTAGCAAAGAAAGGAAGAGATGTGTATGGTTTTGCTTCAAGTATTTTTAACTAGCTGGATAATGGAACTAAGACATCTGGAGGAACCAGGGGAACACTGTGTGAGGTAATGCCCAACTTCAAAGACAGTTCTAGAATCCTCCCATGGGCAAGGAAGGCACTGTTGGCTGCTGGCGCTCTGACTTGGACAAGGTGAAGTTCAGGATTTGGTGAGGAAGGTGCTACAACCAACAAACAAAGACACCAAAGTATTAGTCTAATTCCCCTGGAGTCATGCTTTCCATCCCTAAATTCTAACTTATGCGGTATTATTTAAAAATGCAGGAGGAGTTGAGGTGAAATTGATGGCTGGGATTTATTGTGGGGGGCAGCTTTTGAGGAGAGGTTCAATCTGGGCTTTGAGGAAGGGGCCAGGGAAAAGGCATTCCGAGTTTGTGAAGGAACTTGAACCACGGCATGGAGTCGTTGTAAAGTGTTTTCAGATTTGGTAGGCAGTAGCAGACAGGCTGAAAGATCTCTGAACTCAGAGGTCGAGGCTGTAGCCATTGGAGTTTGGAGGCTGAGGCAGGTCCTCATAACCAACTGGGTGGAGAGAGCGGACGTGAGGCACGGTGTCTGAATCTCCTGCCTGAGAGACCGACATCATGGTGATGCTACTCTGACTTAAATGGCAAAGCTTAAGTGGCAACCAAGTTTGGACCTGGGCTTTCAGAGGAAGGTAGGACATCCAAAGGTGGAAGATCAGGTCTGGCTGGAGCTCAAGACCACAGCCCAGGTGAGTGACCTGCACCTGAAGTGTAATTTAAGGAGGCTGCTATCTGGAGATGAATGCATTTAGCATGTTTGCAGGAAAGGGAGTAGAAAGCCAGGTCTCAATCAGGAGGAACCAGGCAGAAAGTCACCCCGTCTGCCCCCGTGATTCACAAAAGCCAGGGGAAGGTTTGGTCAGTGACACGTAATGGTCAGGGGAAAGGTGAAAGGGACTGTTGAAAGCGATCTCATGCAGAACCCTGAAGCAAGATTTGACTTTTAAAACATCTAAAAACTTTTCGACAACTTAGACTGTCAAGCCAAAGCAAAAAGCCCTAAAATTGGCCACACACTCAGTGTTAGCAACGATGTGACAGTTCTGTTCTCTGAAAAAGATGTGATTACCCAGCAAACTGCCCAAATGTGGTTTGTGTCCCCAGTGCTGATGTCGGACCGTCCACACTCATCAACTCTCTATCAACTTGAAGCACCCTGCTCCAAAGGCGGATCTCTATTTCGTGCCTATGGAAAGAAGGGTGGTGATGATGAGTGTCAGTGTGTGTGTGTGTGTGTGTGTGTGTAAAATGTAAATACACACGTGAGGTGTGCTTGTATAAAAGGTCTCAGGCATCTGATTGACACATATGAATGTAAGAAGAAATAAAAATATCAACTCTAGGATGGTCCTAATTCCTCTTTTGGTTTCTCCATCATGGCCACTAAGCACAGATTTTCCAGGTGAACCCATGTTATTGTATAATATCAGGACAGAAAATGTACCAGTATTCAGATTCTGGAATACCAAACAGCAGATGTAGCCTCTCCGTAGCTGGTTCCTCATGATCGAGGCTGCTCTACTCTCCTACCCATTGGAACTCAGGACAGATATTCAAACGTGGTCTTTTTTTTTTTATGTTATGTTAATCACCATACATTACATCATTAGTTTTTGATGTAGTGTTCCATGATTCATTGTTTGCGTATAACACCCGGTGCTCCATGCAGAACGTGCCCTCTTTAATACCCATCACCAGGCTAACCCATCCTCCCACGCCCCTCCTCTCTAGAACCCTGTTTGTCTTTCAGAGTCCATCATCTCTCATGGTTCATCTCCCCCTCCGATTCCCCCCCTTCATTCTTCCCCTCCTGCTATCTTCTTCTTCTTCTTTTTTAAAATATATAATGTATTATTTGTTTCAGAGGTACAGATCTGTGATTCAACAGTCTTGCACAATTCACAGCACTCACCATAGCACACACCCTCCTCAATGTCTATCACCCAGCCACCCCATCCCTCCCACCCCCCACCACTCCAACAACCCTCAGGTTGTTTCCTGAGATTAAGAATTCCTCATATCAGTGAGGTCATATAATACATGTCTTTCTCTGATTGAGCGAACTCAGCATAACGCTCTCCAGTTCTATCCACATCATTGCAAATGGCAAGATTTCATTCCTTTTGATGGCTGCATAATACTCCACTGCATGCATATATAATATATATATATATACACACACACACACACCACATCTTCTTTATCCATTCATCTGTCGTTGGACATCTTGGCTCATTCCAGTTTGGCTATTGTGGACATTGCTGCTATAAACATGGGGGTGCACGTACCCCTTCGGATCCCTACATTTGTATCTTTGGGGTAAATACCCAACAGTGCAATTGCTGGATCATATGGTAGCTCTATTTTCAACTTTTTGAAGACCCTCCATACTGTTTTCCGGAGTGGCTGCACCAGCTTGCATTCCCACCAACAGTGTAGGTGGGTTCCCCTTTCTCTGCATCCCCAACATCTGTTGTTTCCTGACTTGTTAATTTTAGCCATTCTGACGGGTGTGAGGTGGTTTCTCATTGAGGTTTTGATTTGGATTTCCCTGATGCCGAGCGATGTTGAGCACTTTTTCATGTGTCTGTTGGCCATTTGGATGTCTTCTTTGGAAAAATGTCTGTTCATGTCTTCTGCCCATTTCTTGATTGGATCATTTGTTCTTTGGGTGTTGAGTTTAAGGAGTTCTTTATGGATTTTGGATACTAGCCCTTTAACTGATCTGTCATTTGCAAATACCTTCTCCCATTCTGTCGGTTGTCACACCTTTGTTCATCCTCCAGGAAGCTTATCTTTTCATGGCTCCCAAGTACTCCAGAGGGAGGAGCTGAGAGCACTGCTCCTGGTAGGTGTGGTGAAGGCAGGAGAGAGATAGCTGGTCCTCACACAGCCATCTCCGGCAGTACGGACGTTTAAGATTTCTAAGAACAAATGCATTACAAAAAAGCTCCTAGGGTTCTGTGGGGGACGTGTCTATAACTTAGAATAAGCAGAGCTCATACAGACTGACTTCAGGTATGGACAGGTACTCCCATTTTATACAGCAAGGAAGACAGTGGTGGTGGTTCTTCAATGAATGTCACTTTGCTTTTTCTTTAAGATTTGCCCATATTCGGTGTGGAACAAAGACACACATGCTCATCATAGTGATTGTTTCAAAGGACAGAAGCCCACCAGAGGTGGTGTAAGCAAAAAGGTTGGGGCTATGTAGTAAAGGTCCAGGTTTCTCCAGGGGAGGAATCCCAGGGCAGGAAAGGAGGCTTCCAGAATGGGAAAGGTGGCCTTCAGAGAATGTCTGTGGTTGCCCTGGCAACTACACAGTTCCTCAGTGAGACTTGCTTCTCCTGCGTGTGGCTCAACATGGCCACTCCAGCCGACTCCTTGTGCTCAAGTACCCACCACACTTCACTTCTTCACTTTCTTCTCTTCCTTCTGTCCTGCTTCCTCCACTTCGAATTGGCTCGGCTCATGTATTTAAACAGGTGGCTGGAGAGGAGGCCTCATGTGGGCAATACGTGGGAAGCTTCTCTCCATGGACAAGGCAGCACCCCAACACCAGCCATGCAGATCTATCTATATCTGCAGGTATCCTAACATCCGCCAACAAGTGTATGAGACAGAACACCCAACAGGTTCAACCCTACTTTGGCGTTGAATGATTTAAGCCAAAAAGTATCGACTATGGAATGTAAACTTATTAATCACAAAGCCACTCAAATATTATGCATAGCAAACTCCTCTTTCTCTTCTGCATTTGTGGTTTCTCTGAAAACAGAATTAAACCAGGCCAAAGAACACAGCTACCATGAAAGGAGCTAATCTTTCTAGAATGCTAGGAACACCCAGGGCAATGCCATTACAGAGGTCTTTTGGTGCTTCAAAAATTAATTTTTGTTTAGGTTTTAACCATTTTTTAAAAATATTTATTTATTTGCATGAGAGAGAAAGAGAGAGAGCACAAGTGTGGGGGATGGGCAAAGGGAGAGATTATTCAAGCAGACTCCCACTGCACGGAGCCTGACACGGGCTTGGTCCACAATCCTGAGATCACGACCTGAGCCAAAGCCAAGAGTTGGACGCTTAACGGACTGAGACAGCCAGGCGCCCGGTTTTAACCAGTTTTATATAGATTTTGGAGCTAGGCTGCTTGAGTTTGTAGCCTGGCCTCTCCTCCCTAACAGCTGTGGGATCTTAGGTTAGGGGCTTCCCTCAGTCTGCACCTCAGTGTTCTCATCTGTGATTTGAGGATAACAACAGTACTGGCCTTACAGAGAAAGTAGGACAATTAAATGTGTTAATATTGTAAAGGGCTTAAAATGATGCCTGGCAAACAGTATGTGTTCCACAAATGATACTTATAATTGGCTTATTCAAATAAGCAGAAATGCACACAAACATCTTTAAGAGAAGCACTTGATAAAATACTTTAAAAATAAGTTTATTATAACTAACGAATATAAAATCTGACAGATGTTTTCAAACATTTTTGCAAAAAAAGTAAAACCCTCCCCACAAGATAGAGAGTAAGAACTTGGACAGAGTTTAACATGAACACTAAACATGAAATTCTCATTCACTGGTTGGTCCCCAATGGCTCCAACACATTATATTCTAAGTAAAGGCCCATTAAAATTAACAAACCAACAAACTACTTGACACTTGCTTTCTACTGCCATTATGCTGCGCATTCAAAATGTTTTAGAACAAGGACAGTTAACACAAGACTGCACGTGACAGGTATTCAAAGTGCACGGATCTATGAGACCACAAACACTCGAGATAAGAATGCTGGGGCTGGAATTCAACACTGACTTACAAAATTAATCCGAGGAAATCTATGTACATGGTAGCCTTTGGCATCTGGTCTAATGTTTTTCTTCTTTATAGAGACATCATTTTGTTCAATCTACTAACCAGACTAAGTCAACCTTAAATGCATGTCTCATCTGACACAGATTGTCCACAGCCAATTTCACGTGAGGTAGTTGGGCTGTTTATTGACATTCTAGTGAAACTGTCATGACACTGGGGACTCAGACATCAAACATGCCATGACACTGGCTCATTAGCCTTCTGGGAAGCAACAGAATACTTCTATCACCCTTCCTGTCATCCCTGACTCCACACACACCTATGGAGAGACACGTACACAGGAGTCTGGGACGTCATCCGTTTCCCAAGGAGTGCCAGCCATCCCAGGGTGGTTGCTGTTTATAAAGTACAGGGAGGAAATACTGATCACACTTTAAAATCTATGTAATAGAAAGAATGGTGCTCAAAACAAGCAGGATTTCTTTCTTGTGTTCTCACATAGCTTAGCTGAAAACATCTGTTCACTCTGAAAGAGAAGTGATTAAAAAGGGAAACCAAAAAAATCTCGCAAACTCTTGCATTACAGAGTAGTGGTAGGTCTTTTTCCTTTTAATGAAAGGCTATATCAAGACAGTAGAGGAGAAAGACCCATGCATGCGTCAACTGTACTGCCACTGATTCCTGAATCATGCCCTGGAGTCCCTCAGTGCAGCAGTGCAGCGAGAAATCACGCAAATGGCCTCGGCACACACGACTACTGGCTGCGACAGGATGGGGACCGGAGCGTTTCCAGAGAGGGTCTAGTGAACAGTATGTTCATGGAGTTGTTGAATGGATCCCTAACAACCTTATAATTGATAAGTAGTCTTAAAATACCATCAGAGAGCTACTAAGTATCTTTTTATGTCATTACTATGAAAGCCCTGAGTAAGCAACTGCAGGTTACAAAGGGACATCCGGAAGCAGAACGTAGTTCTAAGTAAAGCCCTCGACAAGCGCCTCCCAGGGATACAGGTTTAGCGTACACACCGATGCCGCTGTGCAGCCTGTACCTGATCACAAAGAGCACCTGAAGTCAGGCCCTCTCAGACCAAACACTTCAGCTCAGCTAACAGAACAATGGCTTAAAAAATACTTTACTTACAAATTCTAAATCTAAAAACGTAAAGAAGGTTGGTAGGTTACCTTAAAAAAAAAAAAAAAACACAAAACATCTGAATAGGGAAGCTGAAGAGTTGTAAAACCTAGGACTAAAACCAGAAGCAACTGATTTTAATCAATGATTCAGAAATGCACCGTTAAGTAACCAACTTCTCGTGGGATGTAGTCATTTAAATCGAAAAAAACCATAAAAATAGTTTTCTTTCAGAAAGTTGCCTCACATCATCTTATATTGCTCATGACCTTCTGACTCTTTCTACTGCCTTAGATGTTTCTTCACATGTATGACTTTCATCATCAGATTAAGTCTCCTTAACATGATGCCTCTTACTTCAGCTCCCTTATCTCAAATTTAATAAAGAAAGGTGTACTGTATTTACTGGCTCCTACCACGTATTTCTCTTAATTAAAAGAACTGTTCCGAAAATATAAAGTTGAAAGCATTAACTTTTGGGAAATACACGTATGTCCAATTAAGAATCAAAAAGAGAAGCCCGCACACTTTTCCAGCAGCGCTCATCGGAGGAGACGTCACTTCCCGCACACGGTGGCCACCTGCTTTATAGCTACAAATGGGAATGGAGGGTCTTTAAAGAAGCTCCGGAAGTCCAAGAGGGGAAGAGAATCTGCACTGACTGGACACCTCACCCTGGGTTAGGTCTGTACCAGGTGCTCCCCAAACGCGTTACGGGACGCTGCGAGGAATGGGGCAGACCAGCTAAGACAGGCAATGGATTTGGTGTTCGGAGGGGGCTCTGCTGGCAATCTTCCGTAAGAGAAAACAGGAGAGGGAAGCAGTTGAGGCTCAGCTACCCCTTTTCGTGCAAACTGGCATCTGAGGAAGCTTTATGTTCAGAATGACATGCAAATAGTGATAACAAGGTGCCTCAAGCCACTACTTACACATCCTAATGAACACCACCTTTCAAAGTCCATTCCCCAGGGACTGAGATGTTCCACATCCTGAGAGCCCTGCTTCTAGAACCCCCTGCAGGGCCGGATCAAGAGCTGACAAGAAAATCATCTCCATCTCACAGTCATAAGTTGGTTTTGCCCCCAACAGGTATCCCTCCAACTTAACATTTTTCACCAGGATTAGCTACAGTGAATCAAATTTACTTTCAAAGGACAAAAAAATTGCCATCACAGAAAGGATTTTGTTCCCCTGGACAAATATACATTGATCCCTCCTACGTGTCAAGTCTGGCCTCTCCTGTGGGGACAGGTGCACACATGATGAGATGCTGTGTTTGCAAGCACTTCGTAAGGGATTATCCAAATGTTTCTTAGCTTCTACTGATACCTAGAAGACAAATTACCTTTTTCTTCAGGATCTCTCTAAAGGTTACTCTAAAAAAGGACTCCTAAAAATGTTTTGAGCAATGAGAGCCAGGTGATTTCTCTGTGCACAAGCATACTCGTGTGTTCATCCCCTCACTGGCTGGGGGTAAGAAAGCTGAGACGCCCCAGAGAGCTTGGAGGAGCACAGAGAAAAGGTCTTACCCATCTTTTCACTTTGTTCCCATCTTAGGCGGTACCTGCAGAGTAGTACTTGAACTAGAAGCTGACGCCGTAGATCCAGGAGGAAGCTCGGACTGTGCCAAACTTCCGGTCAAGTTGAATTTATCACCTAGTATATCACCTAATCTAAGCTTTTATTTAGGACCCTCCGAGCTTTATACATCTCAGGCAAACTGAACATGCTCCAGTGAGGAAAATACCTGTCAAAAACCTTACCCCCTTTCTACAGGAGTGGGAAAAGGCGGAGTACAAAATACAAGCTATTCAAGTTATTCAAGCTATCCTGATCTGGGTTCCCAAGGGTCCTAGAGAATATTAAACCCTTCTTCCCCAGAAAACGGAGTTCTATAAACCAAGGCAGTACCTAATAAATGTGAAAGGGCCATGCTGAGCAGCTTTCTGTGTGTATCAGGAGCCTCGGCGGCCAATCTGTGGTGTTTTCAGTGTGCCGGCCCCTTCTCCAGGAGCCGACGCGAGGTCAGCTGAGGTGACAGGGGGCAGTGGCGGTTGCTCAGGACAGACACTTACAGTCTCCCGGGGGCATCCCCTCCCAACCGCACAATGCCTAAAGGGTCCTCATCCAAGGTTCAAGCAAAAACTGGCTGTTTTTTTCTTTTTCCCTTTTAGAAGGCTAAGTCAGGGGCAGGAAGTCGGAATTATCCTCTAGTTCTGCCATCATACTCACACTAACCAGAGGAGATCCACGCTAACTACTCGTGGGAGGGGGGGAAATGACACACCCCCTCAGCAGTTGCCAACAGCAAGTGCTAAAATACGAAAGAATCAATATTATTTTAGCACCTTTTTCCCCAGCCTTACAACATTTGTTTTTCTAAGTTTAAGCATTTTCCAGAAGTCCTTAGTGAGTGGAGTACCTGTTTCATTAACCTGAGCTAAATAAATGCTAATTTGTTTAAAGACAAAAGACAAAATCAAAACCCCTCTCTACATCTACCTCTGCCTAAAGAGAGGGTTCTCTTTGCCCCAGGAAAGTATCATCTGAAGCTGCTCACGTAGCATTCACCTGTGCCCTTTGAAGGAGCTCCCCTTCTACTCTGGGGCACCACCTCCTGCTGGAACTTCTCTTCTAGCTACTAGAAGGAAGCAGCCCCAGGTGGGAAAGCCACCATGACTTCCCGCCCACACCCACTCATGGCCGCTTGGCCTACTAGAGTCTCCTGGCATCACACACTCCAGGAGAATGCCTACCTAGCACTGCTGGATGCAAGTTTAAATCCCACCTTTCAATTCAGACACAGTCCCAAAGCTTTTGAGGTTGATAAGCAGCTGTAGCTGGCTTGCCCTTCACGACTGGCAATCATCCCGAGATTGGTCAGATGGCACATTCAAAACTGTGGTCCCTGAGTGCAACGTCCAAGCCTGCTGGCTGGGCGCTGCGGCCCATGCAATCAAGAAAACTGTGAGTAAACTTGCTCCACTTCTCGCTCTCCCTTTAACTATTTTATTTCGATGAAAGCCTCTTCCTCTCTGGGAAAAGAAGGACCTATCATTTTGTTCATGCAGAAGATGGGGAGTCCTGTAAATTAGAATTTAAACTGGAATTCAATCTTGTGGATCTTCGACCCTGGGTGCAGGAGAATCACCGGTACAGTTTATTCAAATGCAGATTCCTAAGTCCCACCCGAACTATTCTGGTTCTTCAGGTCGGGGTAAGGCTGGGGAATTTGCTTTTTGAAGAAGCACTCCGTGTGATTTTGATGCAGAAGTGGTCCAGATCACACTCTGCAATGACCTGCATCCTCTAATTAGAAGCTGTGTGACTGTGAGCAAATCCCTCAATCTCTCAACCTTACTTCTGAAATGGATAATAAGCCTGGATGTCAGTTTCACTGTAATGTCCAACTCAGATGACACACGGGAAAGCACGCTGGCAAAGACCCCACTAGATAGGGGTCATCACAGATGACATGTTGCTTCGCTGGCTTGGAGTTAGGGCACCACTCATCCCTTAGGAGCCACAGTCTCCCCTCACATAAACAGGGATGGCATTCCTTGTGTCTTCCTCCTCCCACACTGACAGGCCCACACCAGTGCCCCGAACACCTGGACGACACAGGCTCTTCTTGCCTACAAAGCCATGGAGAAGAGGATTCTCTGAATGTCTAGGAACACCAGACTCTACATTTCAATAGCTTCAACAAAGGGACTTAGCTTCCCCCCAGTTTTTAGTCTAAGTGGACTGAAACACTGGCTATGTGTTATATTCCTTGATACAGAATTTGCTCATCTTCAGCTTGGGTTTGGGAGGCTCATTAAAAGTAAAAGGTAAAAACAAAACACAATACCGACAAATTCATTTGTTAACTCTGCTCTTACAACTTGCTGTTCAATTCTAATAGAACAGCTATGATTTGGTTTCCAGGAGGCCCTTTGAACTGAAATATGTAGCACCTTGATTTTTAAACACACAAAAGACATATGCATTTTAAAAATTATATATAAAAGCACTAGGCTTTGCCTCCTTCTCTCCATCCCCACAAGGAAGGGGTTGGAGAGGGCTGAAGCTGCTGCTGGAAATCAAGCAGGGCAATGAAACACTTTAGCAGACTTTATTCCCTGAAGTTAGGAGGCGGCGCGGTCCTGCAGGCGTCATACCACCTCATCAGACTCCAGTCCGTGGACCTCGTATAAAGTGTCCAGGATCGCCAGCTGCTTTTCCATGGCAGGGAGGTAAAGGCTGAGGTCCCTCTGCATCCCAACACTGAAAGCTGCTTTCTGGTGGTCGCCTTCCTTTATGGTTAATGCGGCGACAAAATCTTCATAGGATGGAGCTGCCCTCAGAGCTAACTGCAAAAGAACTGCCCGTGAGAATCCGCAGCACGTCTTCTGCTGTTGCCCGCCATCCTCTTATGCACAAGTGCACACGCGCACACACACTCACACACGTACACAGCGACTAGGAGAGCAAGAGGAAAACAGCAGGAATATACCCTTCCAATCCATGCACGCTAAAATTATATTTCAAACACCAACACAACAAATGCTAAGGCTGGAAGAAGCAAGTGTGTATTGGGCCATCCTGGGGACGAACGATGCCAACAAATCAGGGAGTGCTGAGAGAAACGAGTTTGAGGAAAGCTCCCTCCTCATGCCCAGTGTGATCCAGACTATTCCCTCTGCATCCTCAGAATCCATCACGTGCAAGTTGCTCCCACAGTCGTGTTCCCACGTAGCCAGCCTTCCAGGGCCCCTCACTCATTTGTGTCCCATCTCCATAGAGGCCTATCTCTCTTTTTCCCCACATGGGTATTTCCTCTGCACCCTTGAATATTTTCTAAAAGGGAAGGGAGCTCACACTTGTTGTTTGTGCACGGATGCTGTAACATATTTTATCCCAGTTAATGTGTATAAGGACGCTGTGCAGTAGATATCCCTATTTTACAGATGAACATTATATAGCTAATGTGTGTCAGGGCCAGGATCTGAACTTAGAAGCGACTCTGTGTGTTTTTCAATCATGCTGCCACACCGTACCACTTTCCTGGTGGAATAGTTCCTAGGCTCCGGATAGCTCTCTTCCCTTTGTAGGCCAGCTCTTCCCTAAGTGTGCCAAAATCTGCTGTCTGGGATCCACTGGATTGGCTCTGCTGACAGCTCTGGAGACTTTGGAATCTTGAATTAATTACTCTACACTCTTCTTGAGCTTCCTTACTCTTTAAAAGTCTTTGAGAATCAAGCCACTGCCTTTTTGCAATTGGAGAGTGACTGGCATGATCATGCAGTGGTTAAAGCACAGGCTTGGGTGAAGGAGACCTAGACGTGAATCCCAAATCTTTCACGTTAGCTTGAGAAATTTAAGCAAGCTGCTTAACCTCTTAGAGCCTCCATTTCTTTCCTCATCTGTAGAAGAGGACTGGTACCACTTTCCTTATTTGAAAGATTAATGGAATATGTATGACATATTTAGCCCACTTTCTGACATGTGCCAAATACTGAAATAATGGTAGAAGTATATGGGAGAGAGCAGAGAATGAAGGGAAGGCGATTATCTAAAAAATAATGTGAGAAAATCTCCTAGAACTGAAGGATATGAGTCTTCAGATTTAAAGACCTACCCAGTAACTCAGCAGAATGAATGATAAAGACTAAAAGGAGAATATCATAAAATTTAGAAATTTTAGAATTTTAGAATGGATAAAGATCCTGGAAGCATGAAGGGGGTGAGGAGCAGTTTATATACAATGGAACAGGAACTAGAATGTCAACAGATTCTACAGCAGTTAACAGTGGAAGCTAAAGGACAAGAGAGGACTGCCTTCAAAATTCTAAGAGAAAATTATTATCAACCTAGAATTCTACAAGAACCAAAGCATCTCTCTAGAAAAGAAGGGCAGAATAAAGACATTTTCAGGCATGCAGGAACTCAGAAGTTTAGCTCCCTTGTACCATTTTTAGGAAGCTACTAGAAGACACCACTAAAACAAGGGATTAGATCAACAAATAGGAAGTAACAAAACCTGGGAAGTTGGTGTGAGATGGGGATTCAGCACAGGAAAACTTGTAAAGAAGAGTCCTAGGTCATAGCAGTACAACAGGCCTGAATAGCTAATTAAGATTGGCATTCAGTTTAGAAAGTTCTGGAAGGGAAGTCTCCAAAAAAACCAAACAAAAACCAACAGAGATAACATGATATATCTATGAGTTCAGAATGATGGTGACTTTTGGCTCATCTTCATCATGTTAACCTGTGATATAATTATATTGGGAAGGTAGAGGCAGGGGAAGGGAGGTAGAGATAGTGAGGTCTAAAGAAAGCTAAATTCTAATCATAACAGAAAGTCAACATTATTGACTAAAATTGATGAGGCCAAAAAGAACAGAAAACGTTGTTAGGATTATGGAGGTACTGGAAGAAATAGTCACAGTAGTTGAAAGTGGCAGCCTCTTTGGAGCGAGTCTGGGAAAGTGTGGACAGAAGGCAGGGACTATTTTTTGTTATAACCTTTTTGGACTTTTGAATAGAACAACAAAATCAAGCCCTCTGCCCGTGTATTTAGGTACAATATAATTTGTGAAAAGTTTTCTCGAGAATGTATTTCTCAAAGGTTCCCAGAGGACTGTGATGCAGTCAAGTCTACTTGGGAACCAGTGATTGAACTCAACTGAGGAGGAAACGAAAAAGGTCAAATGACAAATGGTTAGGATGCATGCTGGAGGTAGAGCCTGGGCTGGGCTTCCGTCCTTTGAATTACAACCGCCTGAAGATGAAAGTTCACTATCTGGCTGGTAAATGACTCAAATTCCTGGAGTGTAGATGATGATTCCTGGAGCAACTGAGAGCAGCTAAAGACTCTGCCCCCTGCTGATCACTTAGCACAATGGGAAACAGTATACTTTGTACAGTAGGGATGACTCGCGGAGTAACAGAAGAGAGTCTGGAAGGGCCAAGCTAGCTCTTCTATGTATATGGCTGTTGGGAAATGCTCAACATAATCTATTTTCTTAAAAACCAACAACTATTAAAAATTATTGGCAATAATATCAAGAGCCTTCAGAATGTTCTTCCTCTCTAACTTCGGGTGTATCACCTCACCTCTTGTGTCTCAGGTTTCTTTGTCTATGATAGGGTAAGTAAGAGAACATACTTTGTAATTATGAGATTACTAACTGTATGTAAAGCACTTAACAGCTGGTGCATGGCAAGTGCTCAAAATTCTAAGTTCTAATAGTTCTTAGTATTAGACATAACAATTCCACTTCTAGGAACCTATTTTTAGGAAATAAAAGAGTTTTACTAAAAAAGGTATGTAAATGAATGCTGTTGTATTTTAACAACAGACTCGGAAAGAGCTTAAATTTCTAACTTCTACAAAAGACTGGCAAATAAATCATGGCACCTCCATACTAGGGAAATATTATGCAGTCACTAAAAATAATGATTTTCAAAGACCCTTATGGCATTTAAAAATGGCCAAGATAGAATCTGTTAAGTGGGAGGAAAATAATACAAAATTATACAAGATAATAATCAAAAAATTTACATACACATACAGACTATACAAAACAATTTTACAAATGTAACATGTAGATATAAAACTATAAATATCTATAGAGATATATACTTATATAAATATATAAAATTAAATAGAACAATATTAAAAGAATATATAAATATATATAAAAATAAAAACTAAGAAGGTAAAACACAAAAATGTTAAAAATGGTTATTATGGAGTGGTGAGAATATGGACATTTTGATTTTTTCCCTTTCTATTCTTCCATGATTTCTATATTTTTTTTATGAGTCTAGATTACTACATACTGGGGAAAACGCTATGAATTAAGAAGTCCTCTTAAAGACTCTTGCTTAGGTTAAATTTTCTGCTACACTTGCATTCTTGTCGGCAACATCTCTTGGATCCTTACCATGTCAGGATTAAACTCTGACTTCTAGACCACAGCAACTACAACAAGATATTTATGTTTCTTGCAAACAGGGCAATTCAGTGTTTTTATGCTTTGTCATCTCACCAGGGAAGCTGGGTTTCAGGCTCCTGAGAGCAATCAGTTTACTCAGGGAGATCACTGAATGTACCCCTGCACTGCATAACTCCTCGGCGGCAGCCTCTCCATCACAGCCTCCAGTGCGGAGCGCAGTGATGCGGGCAATGCGCGTTAGCCCTGCCCACAGCGGAGCTGGGTGTAGACCCGGGCTCTGCCACAGCTTCACTCTAGGACTCGAGTGAACAGTTCTGAACTTGCAGAACAGTGAGAGTACATCCTGAGGATTACCTAAGATAATGAATGTGGGAGTACCTCGCACTGTGCCTGGTCCACGAAGGTGTCCACCAGCCAAGTGGCAGCTCTCGTGACGATTATGACACACATACTGAAGGTGAGTGTGAGCACTCTGCAGCTGCAACGGCGCTGGCTCCTACTGCAATGAGTGCCGGGGTATGGAGCTGGTCATCTCCACGCATTCAAAACACATTTCATTTCCCTGAACTTTACTTCTTCCACTGTCAATTCTTCCCACTTTCTTTACCTACCCCCTAATAAATCATGACCTAAACAGTCCTTACATCAGGCAAATAATGTCTCCTATCCTTTAAGTTAGTGAAAGACATGTGCCAAGCTATTTCTACCCTATGACCTTCCATGGAACACTCACTCTGTGGCGTTTGCTAGTGTGCCTACACAAGACTCTACCTTTTCACGGTTGTACCTCAGGCTGACCTCTCCTCAGATGACAGAATCATTGAGGACTGCTGACATAAAGGGGCCTCTACTCCTGCTATTTTACAAAGCAGGCTACTTGATTTGTGCAGGGGACTAGGATTCCCAGGTATGTGTTCTTCTTAGGTCAACATGCTGGGAAGGAAGGAGTAGCGGGGTAACAGGAGCCAAAACACATGAAGACAAACACCTTCAACAATGAAAAAAACCGACTAACAAGAGGTTTCTCAGAAGCTCTAGCTGCTGGCACAGCCAACTGAATTAATATTCAAAGATAAAATCTGACTAAGCAGAAGAAAAAATCAACTAAAACCTGAGAATTAAAAGGATGGAACACAGTGGGCAGTAGAGGAAGCTATGAGCTTGAAGGCACCACTGGTCTCTCATCACTGCTGAATTTTCAGCAGCTTCCTGCCTATCTCTGCACTGATCAGAAAGGCAACCAAAACCTCCACACGGTCACTGGAGCTGGACAGGGAAAAGCATGCTAACAGACTTTTCTAGTCTAGACATTTTTTATTGCCAACATTTCCATACAACAAAGACCTACAGACTTAAATAGACAACACTGTGTTCTTATTCTTGAGAACAAAGCAAACAGAAATGCCATGCACACAAAACAAACAAAACATCTTGCTGTGACCATCAGAACATTAGAAAGCAGGAGGATTACTTACCGCAAAAACCCCTCGAACCACCCAGCCGTGGTGCTGCCGTAATGTTTTACCATATGCGTTATCTTGAAAAGAAGAAAAACTCCATGAACCACGATTTCACCACAATCTGATGTGCTATTTGTAGCACCTCCTTTCTCAAGTACATGGTAGCATGATCCTATTGGTATTACGAACTGACGAGAAAAGTCTAATTACAAGATTATGTGCCCCTAAAAGTCTTGAGTAGGGAAAAAGCCTACACAGATTTTTTTTTTTTTTTAAGAAAAACAGATAATTCCATTCTTACCTTTTGTAAATGTATCTGAAATTCAGTTTATTACCATGGTGGGAAAAGTCCCATCCATATCAGGAAATAAGGGGGGGGGGAGAATATTGGAAAAAAATACACTATAAGAGTATAAAAATGCAGTTCTCTGAATGCTGTGTGACCCTAAGTCAGTCCCTTAGATGTCCTCTCGGTTTCCCTCTTTGTAACCTGATCTCTGAGTCTCTTTTCAATTGTAACATTCTCTTCTGAGATGTCAAATGTTTGTCCCAGGTGTCCCTCTGACCCTGGAGATACAGTATTAAACCAAGAAACCTTTAAAACTACTATGGAAAGAATGGCCTTAAGTTACTAAGCTACTTATAAAGGACTTTGTAAGACCTATTAATGAAAATCATTCATATTCTAGACTTTAAAGTTAAAAACCTATGATTTTTGTTCCAATGTGTTTTAAAATGAGATTCAAAAACTGGCATATAATAATTTTAATTACAAAAAAAATCTCAAGAACAAAATAATTGCATTTTATGCAAGGGATGTGTTCCTGAAGGATCTGAATAACACAACGCAAAATTCAAAACTGTTTTTTCCACAGGAGGAAATGCATCCTCCGGAGGCACAGATCTATATCACCACAGTGCACATGTATCAACGCTCCATTTCATTTCTAAGTGGCATCTTCAGTGTTTACAGAGTGCTCATTCCTAAATAATAGCACAGGGTATCACGGGGATCCTCTGACCTTCTTCATCATGCTTTATCACATCCAAACTTTGTTCCAGGGGCGCCTGGGTGGCTCAGTCAGTTAAGCATCTGCCTTTGGCTCTGGTCATGATCTCAGGGTCCTGGGATAGAGCCCCATGTTGGGCTCCCTGCTCAGCGGAGAGCCTGCTTCTTCCTCTCTGTCTGCCTGCTCCCCCTGCTTGTGCTCCCACCCCCTGTCAAATAAATAAAATCTTAAAAAAAAAAAAAAACCCAAAAACTTTATTCCAAACTTAAGTATTTTCATGTGCTAGTTTCAGCACCAGTATAAGTGCCACCACCATTTAATCAATGCTTAAGTGACATTATAATAGGATATAGAAATATTTCAAATTATAAGAGCAGATGTTAAGATAACAGAAAAGCAGACACCAGAACCACAGCCACAAGTTTATGCAGTTAACAATGTGGCTCACAAAATACTACCAAAGGATGTCAGATATCTGCATTTTACTGGCCATGTGGCTGTAGCTTAAACACATTTTACAATTTACTCAAGCCCTCTAGCTTTGAAATCATGTACTTCTTGTCAACTTTTCTTTTTAAAATTTGGACAAGGCTTTATTAATACTTTTAGCACCCCCCACTATCAATTGTACATAATTCAACTTTGCACAAAATACAATTTGTATTTTATATAAAAGAAATGTAACAGGTTTCTCTGGTTATCTAAGGTTTTAGGAACAGGTGGAAATGCCAGCACCCAATAAGTATGAAGACTCTTACAAACAGCTTAAAGGAGAACTGAAGATTCAATTTAATTTTTTTCTTAGGAGAACAGTCTGAATAGACTTAGGGTGTGCTCATAGATATGTCTTCAATGTGAGCCACACTTTAAGTCTATCTGATTCTCCAAGGGGATAGATGTTATCAGGGACACTGCAGGCGGTGTAAGACCTGAGCGAAGAAAGGGTTGCTGGCCCACTAAGTGGATAGTGCAGATGGGCAGAAAATAGTAGGCACCGCCTCTGAGGTAAATCAGGAAGACAATCAACTTTCCACTCATCCTTTCCAAGAAGCCATTTGGGCTGGCAAGATATTGTACAGGTCCATGGGTGCTCACTCCTGAAATAAGTCACAGAGATAAGATAGTGGGAATACTTTATTTCTTGTGATCTTAATCTAGACGAAGTATTAAATGACATTATAAGTAAACAGATGGAATTCAATGACATTAAAATCTGGCGGACATCCACGATGGAATGAGGCTCTACCACACACCCCATACTGTGCAAGGTGGGGGAGATCCTTGGGTGATTTTAAAATCAGACAGTCCACTGCCCTCAGAAAGTCCCTGGGCTTATGAGAGCCAGCCATTTAACAAAGTGATATTATATAAACTGACAACTGCTAAAGATGTGTATACAGTGCTTTCTGTAGGAATAAAAAGAAGACAGAAACGAACCCAGCCTGAAGACATGTGGGCAAAGAAGTCTCAAAGGCTGGGTAGGGCAGAGAGAAGGGTGGTGGCTGGGGGTGCAGCCTGCAAGCACCAAGGAGCTGTGAGAGATGGGGGCATGCTGTGCAATGGGGAGTAGTTCACTGAGGCTGAAGATCACTGGGGCTGGGGCCAAATGGTGAGGACCTTTATATGCCATGCCAGGGATTCTGAAATTCCCACTGGAGGCCCAGTGGCACTTCTAAAAAATATAACACTTACCTGATTTTTTCTGATTTCACAAGTAATGCATGCTCATTGTTCAAAGTAAGGAAAACACAAAAAGGAGGGAACTAAAGAAACCTATAATCATGCCTCCTAGAGATAACCACAGTGGGCATTCTGGGGGCATATTCTCTTAGCCTTTTTTCCTACACAGTCTGTCCTATGATCTAACAGTCATGATCATTCTGATTGGGAACTGTGGTAGGGAAGTAACGAGGTGAGATTTACATTTCTTGACGGTATGCAGCAAATGCAGCTGTCTCGGTCCTTCAGTCTTCAGCTCCACATTGCTGGACAATCTACCCGTTTACAGAGGTTCTGGCTCCAGTGCTACTCCAACCTCAGGGGCTCTATACTTTTCCTACATGTTGCTGTTTAAGTTAACCTTTCAAAAAAGCCCAGAAACCCTTCTCTGTGCCATCTTCTTTAGGAGAGCCGGAAAACAAGGGTGCTGTGAGTCCCAACAATGTGGGCAGTCTGGTCTACGGAAGGGGGAGTGTCTGTAGAGCAGCATGGTCTGTATACTCCTGCCTGGCCCTCCTAGAGGAGGCAGCCATTCTTTGCTGGGCCTGCGCCTTGCCAAGTTTGCCACAGTGCAAAATGTGCGCCAGCAAGTCTAACAGAAGAAGGAATCAATCAGAAAATTTGGGCTAGGTCCTGACTCAGGTCCAGGAAGACCACTCTTACAATTTAAAACCAACAAATGAGAGAAAACTCGTACACACACACACACACACACACACACACACACACACACACAACTTGCCAAAAGTCCTTAGCTGACTTCTAGGGCTGCAAATATCCCTGCCACATGAGGCTACATTAAATAAAATGAAGTCTAAGCGTGACCTATTTTGGTTACCTAGAGAAGATTAGATAATGAAATACATTAATCTTCACTGTAATATCCATTTATTATCATAACGGGTGTTCTATAATCTGCAAGTATTTTTGGCCTCTGAAAGACATAAATTATCCCATCCCCTTCTCCCAGATCTTTGAGATGTGTCAGTTCCTCAGAGACTGAATCCAAATTTCTCAGTAGGAAGCCTTGACAACCACCTTGCCCAATTCTTTTCCTTTTACAAAACAAGAAACAGAAGACCCAGAGAGATGGTGACTTGGCCAAGGTCACAAAGCTAAAAACAATGAGAACTTGGGGTATTCTTGTCACATTAAACCATTCTAAAAAACTAATGTTCACTCTTTGTGAGACAAAATAATGAAAATGAAAAATGTCCATTTTCCGGCAAGAAGTAGAACCTTATTCTATTTATGGAAACAAAATAAATGTGATTTCTTTACTGGTAACTCAGAAATGTGCTGAGGTACATATGTATGTAAACATGTATTAAAAGATTTTATTTTTAAGTAATCTTTACATCCAATGTGCGGCTTGAACCTACAACCCTGAGATCAAGAGTCACCTGTTCCACGGACTGAGCCAGCCAGGCGCCCCAGAAATTTGCTGAGGTATTTAGAGATTGATTATGCCTAAACCTGTTGTAGCATGTGAGAGAGAACAACTTTTCAATTACTGTTGGTAGATAACTGTTCTGTCCAGGAATTGCATATATGACAGTGTTTCTCTATTGTCAATCTGTAATTGGTAAGAATTTGTCAAGTTACTTGGGGTTGTAGTGAAGACAAAGGAGAAATGCCAATCTAAGTTTTAAGAGAGAGCTTAGTAGATAAGCAAAGTGGGGAAAGGTGGAGTCAATCATTCACTGAGTTTAGGAGATGACAATCACCCTAGCTCTGTAATGAACTATGCAGTCAGTCCCTGGCAAGAATTAGGAACCAGGAGAGGTTGGAAAGTGAATAAATCTGAAAAATAATAACTGAGTGAAAAATAATGTATACAATGTGACACCATGTATATGAGTTTAAAATATGCAGTACAATTCTAGATACTATTTATAGATACATAAGTATACAGTAAAAGTATAAAAACATGTATTATATAATAATAAATAGCAAATTCAGGATGAAGATCTTCTCTGGAGAATGGAAGGAGTAACAGGGTTAAGGGGTGGTACATGGGTAGAGTATTGAACTGTTTTATATATTTGGTCAAGTGGTAGATATTTGCTAAATGTCTAAATATTTATAATAAAACAAAAAAATAAACAACAAAAAACTGAGCTAGCTAGGAAAGTACTGAATTCTTTAATAGTGACTAAGCTTCAGGCAAAATTAATTGTATGAAGAAAAGCCAAATCAATAACCAATGGACAGAAGTGAAACAAGTATCCAGAGACACACCCTTTGTTAACTTTAGGCGTCATCAAGACAAAAACGTGTTATAAGCCGCGTCTGCCATTCGAGAAAGGTGCATGTGGTGAGTAGTTTGGGAGAGGTCCTGACTTGATTCCTCTTCCACAGTATTTTCAGAATAACTAGTCAAGTTACGATTTGATTGTCAGTATCAGGTCATGAGTTCTGACTTTAGCTCTCTCACACAGCCCTCCTTGTCTGGGAAAGCTTTTTATATTAAATACATAACTGAGCATCTTATTACCAATTTTCCCATTCTGTGCTAGAGATCTTGGTTGGATGAATGTTTACCTGACATTTATGGAATCATTCTGAGGTGAGGGATGCGGCAATATGCTGTCCCGTTGAGGGGACCGTGCAGAGCATGTAACACTTAGTACAATGGTGCATGAAATGCCAGAGCAACTTTTCTGCCTTCTACTTACAAAGAGGCTTTCCAAAAGCTCTTTTTGATGTGGCGTCTGTGAGTGGAGGGGCTCAGCTAGAGGGTAGGCTATTCAACATATCTGCCTTGTGGACCTAACTCTTCCCTTAGAATGAACTCTAAGAGAATGCCATAGGACATTTAAGGGTTCAGAGCAGCTCTTGACACGAGACCACCCAAACAGTCCACTCTGACCATCATGACAGGAAATCCAAGTGGTGGTTCAAATGCAAAAGGGGGCAGTATAAAGCCTAAGGCCTCTTTCCAGATGCTGGGAACTCATTCTAGGTCACAGAACTTCAGCAATACAATGACTATACATATATTCTCCAGAGATTTAATAGATGTCAAGGTTTCCATTGTGTCATTTCGGATTTTTTACATTATCACCTCTCATTTCCAAGGCCACTAAGATTACACAAGTTTTATCAACATTTATGAACATTTACCTTTTAAGCAGTGTTTTCAAATTTGGGAGTGCCAGTCAAGGTTTATCCTTAATTTATCCCTACTACCTTGCTGTTTCTAAGTTAGGAAAAATGTTGTCACTGGAGAACTAGCTAATTATCATGAAAAGGAGGCAAAATTAACTGATGCAGTGGCACTAATCTCAGTGCTTTTATTCCAGTTTATTCATTAATCACTCAGAAGCAATCAAAATTCCCAAATAATCAAAATGTAGCCTAGTACAGGTTAGCCTCAATGTCCTAGCTCTACTGAGTGGGTCCCAAACTTTGACCTGGATTAGAATCACCCAAAGGACTTGCTAACATGAATTGCCATGCCCCATCCCTGGTGAGTTTTTATCAGCAGGTGCTGGGTGGGGCCTGGCAGCCTCCATTTCTAATAAGTTTGCAGGTAATGAAGATGCTCTCCTTGGACCATTCTGAGAACCACTGTTCTAGATTTGAGACCCCTGGGAAGGTATTTATCCTCTCTAGACCTCAGTTTACTCACTGTCAAAAAGGAGTATTTGTAAGATTAAATGAAATGTTTCTCAAGAACCTAGTGTCATTCCTACCCTGGGTGCTCTATAAATGGTAGCTGCTATTACAATAACTCAAATTCAATTTTAGAATCTAAAATATGCAAGCTAATTTGCCTATATAAATATAGGCATAAACCCTTTCTTTTACCTACATTCCTAAAGTCCCTCATTTCAGAGGTATTGGTTCTACTTATAAAGGCTATGATTTCAAAATGAGAAGAGAAGCTGTTGACCCAGAGAAATCCGCATCAAGGAGCCTATGGGCTCTAAGTAGTTAATGTGCAAACACTTCTTATAAAGCTGTATTTGTTTGCACAGAGCTTGTTGTGTCAACAACTGGAAGGGAGGGTGGGTGGTCAGGAGAACTTTTCTTTACACTGAACAATGGCAGGAAACTAGGGACCCCTAGAAGTAAAACTATGATTTAAATCATGAAAATTTCTGAAATAATCCTGAACATCAGAATGAAAATCTCATGTTTACAGCCCTAGTTTCCCTCCCACTGAAAACAGTGCTGAAGGGGGAAGAGAGGGAAAGAAAAGCTGAGACTGACTGTGCTTAGTTTGATTTCAAAGCAGCATTTCCCCTTCTAGTCTCCTCTCACTTCAGAAGGGTCCAGACTCCAAATCAAGTAAAAAGAAAGTGAGAAAAAGGACAGAATTAGGGGCAGATGTACAGCAGAAAGGGGACATCCTCAACTTCCTCCATACCTCCAGGGGCTAAGCTTTTCTTTTTCACTTGTGCGTCCAGTAAGCAGCTGGGTTCTACTCTGCCTCCACTCCAGCGGAGGGGTCAATGAGGTCAGTGCCCACAGACAGCCCGGTCCCTCACAGAGACAGCCATAACAAAGCAACAGCATCATGGGACCCGTGGAGCCCACCAGGCACACTGCTGAATCCCACAGCTTCTGTATTTCCTGCAGTAGAGGAGTCTTCGTCCCCGTGTAAAATTTCTGCACTAAGAAGTTTATGGAGAGAAATTTCTGGCTTGGCACCAGAGCTTTGTAAACTTCTCATTTCTGATTTGGGACAAATAAGCTCCATTTTCTGACAAGTTATCAACTTATGTCATGATGATGAAATATCAACAAGAGAAACTAACCTCTATTAAGTATTTATTATGTACCACTTTAGTAATCTTTTTATGTGCATGAACCTATTTAATCTTGACAAAAAACGTTTTTTAGGGAAATGGTATCATCATTCCCATTTTATAGATGAGGAAACCAGGAAACAGAAAGGGTAAGTAGATTGCCTAAGGACACAATGCTATCAAGTGGTAGAATCCAGAGAGCCCAAGATCTTCATCAGTCCACATGTCATAAAGTTCCATGATACTGATTAGGGGACATGAATAGTTACAGTGAAAATACTTTTAGTACTGAAATCAGGACGTGTGGGGAGAATACAACAGACTGTCCTAGAAATTCAGGGATGTATGAGAAGCCCAAAAAGTACAGGTAGCCCAGGGATGGTGGAGAAGACCTTTTGTGGGAGAAATGAGGACTTTTTTTTTCTTTTTTTCTAAGATTCTATTTATTTATTTGACAGAGAGACAGCGCGCGCATGTGAGAGCATAAACAGGCAAGCAGGGGGGAGCAGCAGAGAGAGAGAGGGAGAAGCAGGCTCCCCGTTGAGCAGAGAGCCTGATGCGGGGCTCGATCCCAGGACCCTGGGATCATGACCTGAGCTAAAGGCAGACGCCTAACCGACTGAGCCACCCAGGCACCCTGAAATGAGGAGTTTTGAGGCAGGGGGCTCAAAGTGACTGCTTCAGATCTTTTGTGGCCTTAGCATGTATTTTAATCTCTCTGAATTTTGGATACCTGACCTGCAAAAATGGACTGATGTAAGGGTTAAGCTGTCTAAATTCTTCATAAAGTGTTACAGAAAAACCAGTTTTTATTGTTTCACGGCATATCAGGAGGTTTCTAGAGAGGAAGGCCTGAGAAAGTCACGTTGGGGCAGAATCCCTCAGGACTCATGGCCCAGAGGGAAGAGCTCACTCCTGACACCAACAGAACGCTGCAGTGAATACTGGCTGCCCTTCCACAGCAGAAGCATCTAATTCATTCATTTCATTATTTTTAACTATGGCTACTTAGAGCTTGACCATGTGCTTCTCTACATCACAATAATAGAGGGCTTCAAAGTAATATGGATTTCAATACCCACTCCCTACCCCTCGTGCCTCAAGGCCCATGCTGGCAGAATTTCTTTCAGGCGAAGAGTGAGAGTTCAGGCACTCTGTCAAGAGCACTATGAGGATGCTCCCAGGTTAATGTTTTCCAAAACTGATCTGACAGATCCACCTCTACTCACCCACCCAGTGTTTACTAAAAACCTTACGAGGTTCCAGTCCCTGCTAAAAGATGCTGAAGATACAGGATGACCTTTGACCAAGGCCTTCATCCTGGTCTCAGCTCTACCACTACAAACACGAGGCATTTAAGGAGTACAAGATGATGACGATAATGATCCACCCTTTCTCTCACTCCAGAGCAAATTCCTAGGGTTCCCCAAACCCTCCCTGTTATGGTCTCTAAAACTAGCTTCTCTTGGGATATTGATTCTGGAGAACTGCCCTGTATTTGAAGATTAATTTAGGAAGAACTCACTTCTTAAAAATATTAGGCTTTCCTATTAAGAGATGGCTCTCCATTAATTTAGCTCTTCTTTAAGATATACTGATTTTTAATAAGTTAGATCTACATTACAAGGTCATTATCTCATGGGTTTTTTTTTAACAGAGCATATAAGAAACAAACAATAATAATCAAGTAGAAAAGAAACAAAATCAACTTCGGAAAAGCAGAAATTTTCCCCTATATGCTGCCTCTAGGGGTCTCCATTCCATATCCTACTCAGTGCAATGAACAAAATGTAAAGGATACTTACTCAAGGCTGTCTGGATATCCTTTTCTCCATTTTTCACTTCTGTCAAAAATCCCTTCAAAAATTTGAGACCTCTAAAACAAAAAGAGGAAGAAATATTATTTTCAAAGTTCGCTTACATTGAATGGGTATAAAGAAATGGCAGACATCAGTGTCTTCTTCAATAATATCTTAAATATTGCAGCAAACAGGTCAAGTCACATGGCAGTCCTTTCTGACTTTCTTCCCTGTCATTTCCTTTTAGTTTACTCTAGACCCTTCTCATCTGATCTACCTAAACAGCAGTTTCCAAAAAGTGGTCCTGGGGCCAGTGGGAACTTGGCAATGCTAGTTCTGGGCTCCCACTCCAGACTTACTGAGTCAGAAAGTCTGAGTCTGGAGTGGAGCAATCTGTGTTCTTAAGAAAGCCCTTCAGGTGATTCGGATGGTACCGAAGTTTGTGATCTACTACCCGACTTAAAAGAGAACCAGTCAACTCTATCATCCTTTACGATTCCTTTCTTATATACACTGTTAATATTAACAATGTTCATCAGAAGGGAGGAAAAAAAGAGTTGGTGTTCTATTCATCAGGTCTTCTAGAAAAGGCTATTGTGTTAGATCCTCCACTCAGAAGTAGTCTTTGCATAATACTTTTTTTGCTGGTAGCATTTCAACTGAGCTGGATTTCAACTGCTGCCCCATCCCAGCTGCCTCACCTCTTCAGCCACAAGAGGGCTTCTGTAGCTGAGTTCCTAACCTGGGCTACGTCGGCCTCCACTTCATGCAGCACTATCTTCTGGAGGGTGGTGAACTCTTCCTTGTTGGTTATATACTTCTGATTTACTTTCTGCAGGAAAAGCAGGGAAACAATCTAAGTTAAAAATGCTAAAGCTATCAAGTAAATCGGTATAGTATTGAGACTGATAAGCTTGTCAAGCAGGCTTTTAAGAAATCAAAATAAATTAAGCCTCTATTACCTTTTTTCTTTTGTTTTCAAGGTAATGTGTTCTTGTTTGAGAATTTTTATGAGGCTTAAGCTAGAATTAAATAGTCTCAAGGCTTTAAAGTACTGTTTTTAAAGTATTTTTTTCTGCCTCAGAACCTTTCTCACAGCTGGCCTAGACTTTTCATCTTGAGTATAAAACTCAACAATTACGTGTTTCTGAATGAGATTTCATGCACTACTCCCTCCAAATGTATGGTCTCCATAGAGATATGCTAGTATATTCACCTTAATATTTCCAACAAGATCCATTTTAACAGGAGCAAACACCGTAGGGCCAAGTTTGTCTAGAGGAAAAGATTGAAAACATCTCTGAAAAAGCAATTTTCTTAAATGGCAAATATTTTTATAGTAACAAAAAATTTAGCATGTTTTTCTCCCCAAAACTTTTATTTCCTGTTTTTAAATCATTTTCCAAACATAAGTTTTCAAAGGCTTCTAAGATACAGTCATCACAAAATACATACTAGATTTCAAAGACTCAATATCAAAAAAATAATGCAAAATATCTCATTGATGATTCCTTTATATTGATTACATACTGAAATACTATTTTGGATATACTAGGTTATATAAAATATATTATTGAAATTAGTTTAAAAAATAGTTTTATCTGTTTTGTTTTACTATTTATTGTGTCTGTTAGAAAATTTAAAATCATATATATGGTTCAAATATTTCTGTTGGACAAGAACAACTAAAAAAATAACAAAGGGGTACAGCTAAAAAGCCAGAAGAGAAAAAATAATGGAATTCTAAAAAATACTTGATTGTTGGAAAAAAAAGGGGGGGGAACCGAGACAGGAACAAATATAAAGGAACAAATGAAAAGCTAAAACAGGAAATAAAACAGAATAAAAAATAATTGAGTAATTGGCTAGAATTTAAGAAAAATAAAAAAGGAACAAAGAACAGATAGGACAAATAGAAAATAAATAGTACGATGGTAGAAACGAATAGTTAAGATAATACATGTAAATTTATTCAAACAATGTAATTCACTATATATAAAAGTACAGGAAAAAAACCCACAATTTCAATAAATGCTGAAAATGTATTTTATAAAATTAACTCACTCATGATTATAAAAAACTACTCAAACACAAAAGTCAGTTGTATCTGTATGCTACCAACAAACAACTGGAAAAATAAATACTCTTTACAATAGCATCAAGAAATCAAAATTCTGGAGGGTGCCTGGGTGGCTGAGTCGTTAAGCGACTGCCTTCAGCTCAGGTCATGATCCCAGGGTCCTGGGATCGAGTCCCGCATCGGGCTTCCTGCTCGGCGGGAAGCCTGCTTCTCCCTCTCCCACTCCCCCTGCTTGTGTTCCCTCTCTTGCTGTGTCTCTCTCTGTGAAATAAAACCTTTAAAAAAAAAAAAAGAATCAAAATTCTGGGGCACCTAGGTGGCTCAGTTATTAAGCGTCTGCCTTCGGCTCAGGTCATGATCCTGGAGTCCCAGGATCAGAGTCCTGCATTGGGCTCCCTGCTCAGTAGGAAGCCTGCTTCTCCCTCTCCCACTTCCCCGGCTTGTGTTCCCTTTCTCGCTGTCTGTCAAATAAATAAATAAAATCTTAAAAAGAAAAAGAATCAAAAAATTCTAAAATGTATCCCTAACAAAAACTGTGTAAGACCTCTGGTGTGGGAAACAAAGGCAGAAGAAAAATTATTAAATTTCCTTACTACCTAGAGCCCACTGACAAGTCCTTGAAACAGGCAGTGACATTCTTCTAGGGGCTCAACTGCCTCGATGTTAACACCTTGCTAAGGGCAAAAGGCAATCCTAGCCCGAACCCACCCCGCAAGATCCTGTAAGTCTACTTCAACATATAAAAATTCCTTTGGAAACCTCCTTTATCTCTAACCCCCCAAGATATGTGTTGGCAATCATCCCCAAGCATATGGCCCACTAATATACATGATTAATAAAACCTTAGTCGTGAGATCCTTCAGATGTAAATGACCTTTTCCCAACAACAGCTAGCCCCTCAAGGTCCTGGAAACCTTGCTTCCAAATTCCTTAGAGACTTACGCTATCCCCACGCCCCTCCCAACTTGAAAGTATATAATGGGCCGCTCCTCATGACCCCGGTGCCGCTCTTTCTCCCCAACGGGTTCTGTCCTCGTGCTTTAATAAAACCACCTTTTTGCGCCAAAGACGCCTCAAGAATTCTTAGCCATTGGCTTCGAACCCTAACATCTTTCTTATATCAACCTCTACACTAAGAACTATACAAAACATTGTGAAAATAAAGAAGACCAAAGTAAATGGAGAGATATAGCACGCTCTGGGATTAGAAGACTCAAAATTGTTTAAGATGTAAACTTCCTCCTAATTGGTTTAAAGATTCAATATAATCTTAATCGAAATCCCAATAGGTTTTTAAATAGAAACTGGAAAGCTATATGGACATGCAAAAGACCTACAATTGCCAAAATCTTGAAAAAGAACAAAATTGGAAGACTTACATTATCTGATTTCAAGCTTTATTATAAAGGCACAGTAATTAAGACAATATTAAGTATTAGCATAAAAAAAAATAACCAGACCACTGGGACAGAAGACAGAGTCCAGAAACAGACCCACACCTAAAAGTTCCACTGATTTTCAACACAGCTGCCAAAATAGTATAAAAGGGAAAATAATGTTTTTTTCAAGAAATGGTCTTTGAACAGCTAGATATCATAAAGAAAAAAAAAAACTCAACCCTTACCTCACACCATATACAAAAATTAATTCCAAGATGTATAAATGTAAACATAAAATCAAGACTAAAGGGGCACCTGGGTGGCTCAGTCGTTAAGCGTCTGCCTTTGGCTCAGGTCATGATCCCAGGGTCCTGGGATCGAGCCCCGCATTGGGCTCCCTGCTCCGCGGGAAGCCTGCTTCTCCCTCTCCCACTCCCCCTGCTTGTGTTCCCTCTCTCGCTGTGTCTCTCTCTGTAAATAAATCAAGACTAAAGGGAATAGAAAACACATGAGAATATCTTCATGACCTTGGGTGTAAACAAAGATTTCTTAGGGCACTGGAAGTACTATCTTTATAGTTAGTATATATAGAAAGAAAATAGATACACTGGAATTCATGAAAATGAAAAACTGCTCTTCAAAGACATCAAGGAAAGAAAGCCATAGTTGGGGGAAAATATTCATCATGATGTCTACAATGGAATGCTTTTGAGAATATATAGCGAATGCTTACAACTCAATACAAAGACCATTAACCAACTTTTAAAAATGTATTAAAGACTTGAAAAGACTTCACAATGAAGGAGACAGCAATGGCCAATAATTATATAAAAAAGTGCTTAACATCATTAGTCATTGGGGAAGTGTAAAGGGCAAGGGCACCCCAAGGTGGGCCACGTGAATGTGAAGATTATTGAGTTAAAAGCAATCAAAACCCAGCAGATTCAGGAAAAATTCTTTATCTTCCCCCTGACTGCTTAAATTTACATTGGAAAGGAAAGCCTGTCCCAGGAAGAATGCAATTAACAGATTCCTCTTTACTTAAGAGACTTATGCACATTAACAGGGCAGCCTTGGTTTTCCAACCATCTCATCTTCCTACTAATGGTTTTCCTCCTCTTTGTATCCCCACCTCCAGGCCCCTACCTCTTTCCTTAGGCCAGGATGTCATATAAGCCTCATGTTCCCTATCTTTGGAAATTTCCTATCTGTGTGGATTCTCTGTATGTACAGAATTAAATCTGATTTTCTCCTGTTACTCTATCTCATGTCAATTTGATTCTTGGTCCAGCCAGAAGGACCTTGGGGGCAGAGTAAATTTCTTCCTCCCCAACACAAGTTAAAGCCACAATGATACCATTAAACATTTAGAGGAACAGCCAGACAAAAAAAACCTCAATACCAACCGTTAGTGAAGATGTGAAGCAACCAGAATACTCATACATTGTTGTTGGAACTGTATGACTGTGTAATCACTTTTTATAAAGTTAAACAGATGAACCCAGTGAATTGGCAATTCTACTCCTAGGTATTTACTCAAGATACGAAAAAATATGCCCACAGACACAAAAATATTCAGAGCAATTTCATTTATAATAGCCCAATAAGAAACTACCCAAATGTCCATCCATCAATAGAAGAATGAATAAACAAATTGTATATTCATTTAATAGAATACTATTCTGCAATAAAAAGTAATGAACTACTGCTACATTTAACAATAAGGATGAAAACATTACACTGAAAGAGAAAAAACAGATGCAAAAGAGTAGATAGTATGATTCTCTTATATGAGACTTTAGAAAAGGCAAAACTAATCTATGGTGACAGAAATCAGTAAAATAGTTGCCTTGGGCTGGGTGATAGTTGTGGGTTGACTGGCACAGGGAACATTTTGGGGTGATGAAAACATTTTACATCTTAATAGGGATATATATGGATTACATAGGGGTACATGTATTTGTCAAAACTTACTGAATCGTAATACTTAAGTTCTATGTAAGTTATATCTCAATTCCAAAAAAGATATGTAAAATTTTTAAAACATGAATTAAAAAAAGATGCATAGCTGAATAGCTCATAAAACAAATTTCAACACATTAGTGATGTCTGTTCTACTGACTATATAAAAAGTAAATGTAATTGGAACTTAAATTTATATATATAATTTTTAAATCTATGCAAAAAAAAATTTTTTTTTAAGATTTTTAGTTATTTATTTAACAGAGAGAGACACAGTGAGAGAAGGAAAATAGGCAGGGGGAGTGGGAGAGGGAAAAGTAAGCTCCCCGCCAAGCAGGGAGCCCGAAGCGGGGCTCGATCCCAAGACCCTGGGATCATGACCCGAGCCGAAGGCAGACGCCCAACGACTGAGACCCCCAGGCGCCCCTGCAAAAAATGTTTTAACTGGTATCATTATACCAATGGATTTGAAGGTCTGTTCCTCAACTACTTTTACTCTTGCTTTTAAGTATGATTTCTTGAAAATAAAATTCCCTTTTATCCTTATACTACTCTGTGGTCAATACTTATTCATAGGTAGGAATAAAAAGCAAATATGCAATAATGCTCAAGACCATACAGTTTTAATTGCATGTGGCTGGTGATATGGAGAGGTAGCCAAGAAGGGTCATTTCACTGTACATATAGTTCAGGATATTTCTACTACAAAATAACAGCAGTGAGACAGAGTCTAGAGACTAATGAATTTAAGACAAATGCAGTAATCTTACCTAATACTGGAACCACAGCATAACAGGACGCCAAGAATGCTTCTGTGGGAATGCCACTGTCTTCCAGAAGTTCAATGTCACTAAAGCTAAACAATTTGGTGACACAGAAAGGGAAAGACTGAAAATACAACATTAACACTCTCTGCAGTTCAGAGGTAGTCATGAAAACAGTTGCCCCTCTGTAGAGCAAGTCACTTGGTCTGATTTCAGTGACTGTTCTTCTATTATAATATGGTCCAATAAAATCATTTTCCAAAGATAATCTACCAAAGCAAGCTAAAATGTGTTCAGGGTATAGTCTCATAACCCAATTCCTCACTGCTTCAGAAAGGTAAAGCAGATACTTAGTATACCATATCCTCTGTTCTGTTAGACTATGCCATCACCTGAAAGGAACACCATGACTGATTTTCCAGAAGGGAAGCTGGTATCCAACTGTCCCTGATTTTAGAAAGTATAGAATACCTGGTATTCATGGTACTAAAGAAAGTTGGGATGATTTCTTGGCCTTCTTCCCAGTGGGATTCCGGAGAGCTACTTGAGGAGTCTGATGCAGGCTGGGCTAAGCTGCTGTCATGATTTCCCAGGTTGTCCTCTCCTTCTTCCTTCATGATCTCACCTTGGACTACACATAGAAAATACCTATTACTAAACTATTATTTACATGCTACAAAAATTAATATATATTCATTGTTGAATATTTCTAAAACAGGGAAGTTTACAGAAATAAAAATCAGTGAAATACTATATACACAAACAAAATTGGGTTTAAATATATGTAGGTTTGTATCCTGCTTGTTTTCACTCAACAGTTTATCAGGAATATTCTCATTATCATTCAATACTCTTTAAAATGTGATTTTAATGACCATATATATTGCATCAAGCTCATGTGCAGGGCACTTAGGTGGTTTCTAAAATTTTAGTGTTATAAATACAGTCAATCCCCATTATTAGCATATTCTGTATTTGTGAATTTGCCTTCTCATGATAGTTTATTTGTAATCCTAAAATCGATGCTTGTGGCACATCTGCAGTCATTTCTAGACATGTGTAGATGGTGAAAAATTTGAGTCGCCTGACATACATGTTCCCAGCTAAGGTCAAACATGGTAACAGTTTGCCTTCTTGCTTTGGTTCTTATACTATACACAAGGGTGTTTCTGTAGGGTCATGCTTTGTGCATTTTGTTATTGATTTTGCTGTTTACAGATGCCTCCAAGTGTAGTGCTATCTACTGTTCCTATGTGTAAGAAGGCTGTGATGTGCCTTATGGAGAAAAGACATGTGTCAGGTAAGCTTCATTCAGGCATGAGTGATAGTACTGTTGGCCGTGGGATCAATGTTAATGAATCAACAATACATATTAAATAAGGTGTCTTTAAACAGAAACACACATAAAACAAATCTATATACTGATCAGTTGACTAAAATGTGAACAGAGGTTTGTAGGGACCAAACTCTGTATTTCCCCTAGAAGCAATGGTTCAGTGTCTGCAGTAACTTCATAGAACACAACCATGAATAATGAGAATCAATTGTAATGTCATAAAGAAGATCCCTGTCCACATATATTTGTCCTTAAACTTGACTATTCCCTGGAGACAAATTCCTAGAAGTAAAATTATTGGTCAAAGAACAGTACTGTTTCCACAGAAAATCTCCTATCTTTATTTACTCAAGGGATAAAACTTCAGTGATTCAGTGGATTGCTTGCCTCAGATTAACAGCTATGAAATGCATCTTCTTTCTCCCCAACTCATCTGGAAAAAACAGGGTCTTATTTCAGGGGAGAGGAGCAAGAAACTTGTTTAAAATTTTATTTTCAAAAATATTTATTAAACACAACACAAATAAAAGCTCTAATACGGTTGTCTTGGACTAATCTGAAGCTGGTTTTAGTGGTTAGAGCCAATGGAATTAGCAAATTTGAAAGGGTGGCATTTTCAACTACAAGCTATTACCTGAAATGTGGGACTTGGGCTTGATGGACACAGAGAAGGCTGAGTGAAAACCTGATGGGTGGGTTGGTGAATTCTGCCATTCTCTGGCCTTGCCAGAAATGAGGAGAGCAACCTGAACTGCCACACCTTTATGCTCTGTTAAGTCTGACATCATAGTTTTTAAGTTCAAAGGATTTTGAGACTTAGAGTAGAAGGCCAATGAAGCACTCATATTTTCTACAAAGTCAGCACAGACAGCTGCTGCTCACCACAGCCCACAGACATCACAGATAAGAACAGTGAGTGGGAAAAAACCTCTCCATTCTGCCTTTTCAACACTGGGTCGGATGGGATGGCACCATGTGGTCAAGTGACCTGTGTTACCAAGCTAATGTCTGCCTTCCTAGCTACTAGTATACTGTCTTTTTTTTTTTTTTTTTTAAGATTTTATTTATTTGACAGAGAGAGACACAGCGAGAGGGGGTACACAAGCAGGGGGAGTGGGAGAGGGAGAAGCAGGCTTCCCGCTGAGCAGGGAGCCCGATGCGGGACTCGATCCCAGGACCCTGAGATCATGACCTGAGCCGAAGGCAGACACCTAACGACTGAGCCACCCAGGCGCCCCTACTAGTATACTGTCTTGAGGCCAATCCCTATCAAGTATCACATCATGGATATACAATCCAACTCCCAAGATCAATGGTTTGGGCTCAATGGTTTGTTTCATACTTTACTTTTGTTTTTACCTGTTATATTATGATCTGTATTTTCTTCACTTGATATGCTGCAATCTATCTCTGCAGGTTTCAAATATAAGGAGCTCTTATTTTTCATTAGGATTTCTTCATCAGCATTTATTTCCATATGTAAAGATCCATTTTCACAACTATTCAACTCCATTTGCCTGAAAATTTTTTATAAGGAGAAAAGCCAAAAAGTCCAATTATTTGGTCTTAAATAGACTGCCCAGGTAGATCTTATTCTGAGAAAGGAGGGAGGGGTTCACAAGCACCAACTCCTTTTAACAGTGATTAAAAACCAGTATTGTTGAATCAGCCAAACCTCTCAGCCTCCTGCCTCCTAGACAGGTATCCGCCTGTGATGGGAGCAGGCCTGTCTCCCAACTGAGGGTCTGAAATCTAAGAGCCATTCCTGGCTTCTCAAGGACCCTCAGGTGACTTAAACTTCCTGCTCCCCACCAGCAACAGGAAACACTCATCGACAGCTCTTCGGTTTTCAATCAGCTTTCTCCCCGTACACACTGAACACTTTTCTCACTTTCCTCAGCTCCCCCCTGGGGGTCTTTCTCTCTCTTCAGCAGTCAAAATCATTGGCCACTCCCATATGTTTGCCTGTCACTTAACTGTCTAGAAGCTACATGCTGTGGTCAGGGGAGAATACTCCCTGCAAAGTATGTCTGACAGAAAAAACCCAGGAGGACACAGGATACCTCCTGAGGATCTGTTGCTCTTCAGGGTAACAGAAAAGCCTTTTTAACATGCAAGTGGAACAGCTAATTCTGTTGAAGGGACAATCATAACATCTTGTAAGTGATTAGATCCAACCGAATTAGAACAAAACTATTTTCTCCTAATAAAAACAAAGGGAAAGGGTCCAAGCTATATGGTGACTCCAGGAAAAGCACTTGTTTTTTTCCTAAAGAAATGCCATATTTCAACTTAGCAATTAAAAATGTAGGTGTTTATTAAGGAAATGTCATGAGAAAAAAGTCTACTCTTTTTCTAGTAGAAATATTTAGAACAAGATAAAAATGTTAACCAAACTGGAACAATCCTTGTACTAAAGCAAACAATAGTATACAAAGAGATGAAATGTTAAATACTAATTTGAAAGGACAAATATATGGAGTATGTCAAAATATGGGAATGCTTATATAAAATAGTAACTGACTTAAAGACCCCAAATAATAGGAACACAACTATGTAAATGTGTATTTTTTTCTAAAATTGAAGGAGCAATTAGAGGAAGAAATTTAGATTTTGATATTAAGTTGTTTTTTTATAAGCTGTAAGGCTACCTAACATTTTTACTTTTAAATAAAACAAAATAGTACTGTCTTTTCTGGATAAAAGCACATTTAAGTTAATGCCAGGCTCCTCCACAAGAGAGGAGGTTCCAACCCTCAGCACACTAGAGCAATTAAAAGTTACCACATGTGGTGGGCAGGTCCATCCATACCTGAGGGAAAATGCAAACTTCCCAGGTAGTCTGTGCTAAGTGAAAGGTCTGCATTGCTTCAAGCTCACCCCGAAGAGGAAAATCAGATACTGTTTCCTTCTGGTATTATCTCAAATCATGATCAAAATATTCTTTTTTTTTAAACAAACAATAAAAACATTTATTTTTAGAAAGAAGAAAAAACCAAAATAGTTACTGTACCTTTCCAATGAATTATGAATCGGTATAATAGGATGTTTCATCTTTAAAAGAAGCAAAAAAAAAAAAAGAAAGAAAGAAAGCTTCATGTTAAACTTCCAACAGAGCATATTTAGAGTTTCATCACATAAAAAAGTGATAAATATGAGCATAACATAACTGCCCCACTCAACAGGAACAATTTTAGATCCTCCCAAAAGAAGGGAGTCATTGATCTTAACCGGTCCTTTGTATGTTTTCAAATAAGTGTACCCATATTTCTAAGGAAAAGGAAGATGGCTCTTTTGAAGGATCTAATTACCATAGCCAAACCCTTGGTGGTTGGCTTTCTCATAATTTTAGTTATGTTCATTAAATATTATGATGCAGCATTGTTTCAAACACTAAAAGTATAAAGATAAACAGTATGAGGGTTCCTACCCTTAAGGTAATTTCAATAAAGAGTAACCCTAAAAAATAGGGGCATGCATAGAGGAGGAGCTCCTAGCCCAACTGAGGGATTCAGGGAAGGAGAGATTAAATACTGAAGGACGGGGAAGTGCTAACTAGGGGAAGATAAGTGAGAACAACATTCTTGGCATTGGGAAATGGTGTGAAGATGTCAGGGGAGCTCTATGCAGTTAGTATGTTCAGCCAGGTAATGACAGAGCACGAGGCTGGGGGTGTGGGAGTGGGTTAAGAAGTTTTGACATTAACCTTTGGCAATGAGGGAGGCACTGAGAAGTTTAGGTAAAGTGGTCCAGTTTATACTTCACGAATAGAACTACCGTCGGCAGCCTGGAAGGGTTAGGCTGAAAGTAACTAGTTAGAAGGTCACCACAAATCTTGGCAAGATTTGCTGGACAAGGAGGCTGAAAAGAACCTAGTTACATCAGACACAGGTTTAGGTGGTAAAATTGCTAAAAATAAATGGATACGGAGGACTGAGGGCAGAAATATGTAAGTGGACATAAAGGGAAGGCCACTAAAAAAAATGTCTTTCTCAGTCACCAAAGGGTGATGGATAACATGGTTCACTAGATCACTTTTTAACTTTTCGTCTTTTCATTATGTCCTGGTGCTGCCAAGCTGAGCTGGCTTTTACCTTGTTGGACTTGAGCATGGCCAGCTGTGGTGAACCTGGGGGAGTGCGATAGAGTAGCTCAGAGGTAAAGGCTGCGTTTGCGATCTGCATGCATTCTTCCAACGTCTTCAGAAAAGTATTGCAGGTTGATTTCAGCAGAGTTCCCACATCAATTCCTTCCTACGAAACAACGAGAGTGGAAGATTCCTTTACCTTGCCAAAAAAGAAAGACCCCAATGGTGGAATGTCCTTAAGAGGTTTTTATCCACAATGTAGTAATAATGTACCCACCTATTTTGAAGTTCAAATATGTACATCACTTACAAAAGGAAAATACTGAGTCCACTTTATTTACTAGCCCTATAAAGCCTCCATCTGACCCCACTGTTCCAGCTGAAGGCAACAACTTCTTTCAATTCAAAAGTATTATATGCTAGCACTGTGCCAGGTGCTCGGCACAGCCCTCAGGGAGTTTCCAGTCTACAAGGGGTGGCAGGCATGAATCAGGGAATCACACGGACTGAAGACCAGTGGAATCAATGGAAAAATGTCTCCCACTGCCTGAGTAAAAATGAGGTTCCAGAATAGAAGAATTAGAAACCATAAATCATTCATTATTTACTTTCAGAATGGGGTTTTTGGCTTTTGGTACAGATGAGTTTAAGAGCTTTTAGCAACTGGAATTCTTTTGAATAGCTAATCACTTGTTCTCCCAGTTATTTTACCTGTTCAGGGTGTTTTTCCCCTGAATACTGATATTAATACGTTGTTCAGGAAACTGAGGCCATACCCTGACTAGAGTGTATAGTAAACACATCTTAATGGTACAAAAGAAACCAGACCGGGCCCAAGATGGAGTCGCTCATGCTAAGCCTCACATCAGCAAACCAAAAACTTCAGTTCCTATGCCTGGTTGTCCCAAAAAAGGCAGGCCTAGGTCAACCAATCAGCACAAGTTACCTGACCCAGCTCCAAGATTTCCTTTTGCTCCACATGAAGAAAGTAACCCTGCTTTAATCAATCAGTAAAGGCCCAGCAGAATTTCTTGTTCCTGTTCATTTTGTCTATAACAATCTCTAGCCTCATAAGGCTTTTCAGAGTTCCTTTTTATCTGTTAGATGAGATGTTGCCTGATTCATGAGTTGCTGAATAAAGCCAATAAGATTTTAAAAATTTACCCAGTTGAATTTTTCTCCCAAGAGTGGTCTCTATATTTTCCTCAATTTTGTATTTCTAACAAGCTAGCCAATGATGTTACTGGTTGTGGACCACTATGATTCTGACATCAATTATGTGTGGGTTTTCCCATACCACCAAACAATTCTCTGACACCAGCTGGATGTCCTATAACTCAACTCAATTCTGACACTATCTCCCTGAAGACAGTGTCAGCTCTCACAGGGCTGCTCCCCACCCCTCATTTCAGATACCAATGGCAAGTCCAGGTTGTCACTTGTGCTTCTGACTGATCTGCTACAGACTGGAGGTTCTAACTCCCTCCTCCTTTCAGTTGATTAATCTGCTAGAGCTGCTCACAGATCTGAGAAACATTTTACTAGTTACTAGATGGCCAGTTTACTACAGTTTACTATAAAAGGATACAACCCAGAAACAGATGCAAAGGGCAAGGCAGCTGGGAACAGCTCAGAACTTCTATGCTCTCTGACCACACCACTTTCCCTGAATCTCCATGTGTTCGCCAACTCAGGAACTCTCTGAACCCTGTTCTTTGGGTTATGGAAGCTACACTGCACAGACATGATTGATGAAATCATCAGCCACTGAGATTAAACTCAATCTTCAGCCTCTCTTCTTTCCCAGGAGATGAGAGTGGGGTGGGTGGGTGGATCTGAGAGTTCTAACCCTCTAAACACTTGGTTGGGTTCTGGGTCAACCAGCCCCCATCCTTAGGCACTTTCCAAAAGTCGTCTCACTAACATAACAAAAGACAATTTTATCTTTCTCATCACAGGAAATTCCAAGAGTTTTAGGACGTCTGCTAAATATATATCTCTTATAAAGACCAAATATACATATTTCTTATTATAAATCACAATATCACAGCCACAGTTTCATTAGCAAGTTCCCAGGGCACTCTAAACATCTCCTTGGATTAAAAATTGCTATGTTCACATTTTCCCTTCCCTGTTAGGCCAGGGTTTCCCTACCCGTGGCACGACTGACATGGGGGGCTGACGAATTTTTGGAGTGGGGGAAGTCGGTGGGGGCGCTCTCCTCCTACCCACTGCAGGATGTGAAGCAGCATCCTAGCCTCCATACAGTAGAGGCCAATAGCACTCCTTCAATCCTGACGACCAAAAATGTCTCCGAACACTGCAAATGTCTTCTAAGGGGCAAAACTGCTCTGGGCTGAGAATCACTGCTGTGAACTGTAAGCATCCCAAGAGCAGGACTGAAATGTTTTTTTGGTATCCCTCCCTCCCGCCCCCCTCCCCACCCCATTCCAGCACAGTGTCTTGTACACAAAAGGCAGTTGCTGAACGAATAAGAGAGCCCAAAAGGAAGTGAATTAAATCACCCTTATAAGAAAAACTGAAAGCACATATACCACTAGTAGCATAATGTTCTTTTACTAAAACCATTAATTAGAATCTATAGACTCTTCATTTTGTAGGCATTGTTGTTCAGATTATAACTACCCTGAGAGTAGAGAGAGACCTTCCCTGGGTAGTATGAGCCATTCAACACATAGCCTAACACCAGAGAGATCTTTTAATACATGTTTTAAGATGAGTAAATGACAACTTCATTAATAAACATTAAAAATCACAATCCTTACTGACAATGGGCAGGAAAAAAAGCTGTGTCTCCAACTTTGAAAGCATCAGTCTATAGTAAAGCACAATTATTATGTCACCAATAAAATCCTGTTACAGGGGTGCCTGGCTGGTTTAGTCCATACAGCATGCAACTCTTGATCTCTGGGTGGTGAGTTCAAGCCCCATGCTGGGTGTAGAGCTTACTTAAAAAATAAATAAATAGATAAATAAAATAAAATCTTGTTATAGTCTCATCAAAGATGACAGGTACACATTATTGATAGACATGATGTTGGCATGTTAGTAGCCACACCTATAGAAGCAGCTAGACAGGTAAGGCTGTATTTATAAAGTGATGCAAAGTGGGGAAAAACGTATTTTAGTACATCAGCTAAGCTAATGGCACCAATGTTAAAGGTTCCAAATGTTATCAACTAATTAATCCTGAATTCATTCCATGAAGGAAAACAAATGCTTCCATATGCTGAAATGCACACATTTCTTCTCTTTGTTGAATTTTGTTACATTTTTTCTCCAAAAAATAGTAAATTCCAAAATAGTCAAGGACTGTGTGAGAGTAATCATTACCTGTAAGCAACATCTGGTGCTACTTTTCCTGTCACTAAGACAAATAATATTTTACCTCAGAATTGGACACACCAGTTGTGGTCACTTCTTTTGTTTTATCTACTTGCTGAACAAGGAGGTCACAGTAGAGTCTTAGTTCCGACATTTTGGTTTTCAAGTTTTCAGTGTTTTCAGCAAACTCTAAATAACAAAATGATGATAGTGTAATTACCAGGATGAATAAGGAATTTACTAGTTAGCATACTGCAGAATGCAATATATAACCTATACCTAAAGTCAGATGATGATGGTATGGGTTATAGATAAGATACAGATGATGATAATGGGAGCAAGAAAAACAGAAAAAGGAGATTTCTCGTCTTTTGTAATCTATATTATTTCTTGGGCCAACATACTGAATGATCACCAGTATAGATCACCAGTATAGGAAGAAGGATAAAGCATACTTTTCAAACCCTCATGTCAGAACTGGGAGCAGAGTCAAGGGTTTAGAGGTTTGGTTTCATCTGCTGCACAGTTTTCCCTATCTGTAAAATGGGGTCATAGCTATCTATCTGCTAACAGTAGCCAAAACTGGGAAACTGTTCTGTAACGTGCAATTATCACTAATAAGATGGCTCATTAATTCACAGAACTGGTCCAGCATGCCACCCATCGAGGCTAATGGCACCCTCAGAGCACATGCTGCTCCCTCATTAGCACAGCACTCCAGCTACTCTGGCGCTGAGGGCTCAGCTAGTCATTATCACTTCTGGATTTTTTCCCATGAAAGAGCTGCACATTACAATCTGATCTGAGTCAAAGCTGACAGTGTCTAGAATATGCTCCTGATTTAGCATTAAAAAACAACCAAGGAAGAGGACATTTTCCTGTGTCTATTTGAAGAGTCAAGCACATCTACCACACCTGTTACGAGAAAGAGGCCCCTCCCCCCCGTCTCCCGCCAATCTCTTCAGGTGTACATCCTGGGGATGGGGGCTGGGAAGGTGGCACTAGGGCTCAGGCAGTAAGCCCTGGCACTCTTCCCCTGGCCCATATAGAAAGTTGTGCCAGGGTTCTCAGGAGACCTAATGAG